CCATACCTGGTGGTGGTAAGATACTTTGGGGCAGACTGACAGAAGCGCGACTGCCATGCCAATCGGCACCATCGGTCCCTCTGACCACCACCATCACTCATGCACACACCACTTTCATACTAGGCAATGTGGGTGAAGTGCCTTGCCTAAGGACACAATGACTGGTGCCCCACAAGCAACAGACCCGGCTAAATATAAGAATGTCTGCATTTTAGGTATTTGAGCAATAAACACATTTTCAATCCTTAACTGAATAAACACAAGACTGATATCTTTAATGCCATACAGTGAAAGATTCCAGCCAAAGCATCATGAAGGAAGCAGGTTGTGGACCCCCAAACAGAAAAGTTATAATGCAACATTAAGAATTTTAGTATTTTAAGACTGGTTACAGTTGTGCACCAAGCTCCACCTGGCAAAGAACATGCTATGAACTTATCAAGTGTGGATGCAGAAGCTTGTGCTGGGTGATGCAAGTGTGCAAAGATGAATTTGGCATGTACAGATTCATGCCAATGTGGCAGCAGCTGCACTTAGAGCACTTTGAATAAGTTTAACGATTTAAGGAAAATGTTTTTTAGGGTTAATCCTCACATCCATGCAGCATTTAATTACTATTGTGAAACATGATGAGGCATTTACAGATCTTTAGATATGTTTAAATTGCTTTTGTTATCAAAAACCCAATAAATATGGCTTTGAAAGATAAAATATTGTAGTAACTTGGATTTCAACCACAGGGAGCCCACACAACCCTTACATTCTCAAGGAAAATGGTCACATGACCTCCTTCCTCCTTTGGAGTTTATGAAAAACAGTTGTTCAACATTACAAAATGGATAACTAAGCAAATTAGACTATAAGAAAGGGATTATGCAATGTTTTTTATGCCAGTCTCATTTTCACACAGTCCATTTTGTGACATGCACAGTTCTCGGCTCCAGGGTCGACTTAGGCTTGGTTCTATATCCAGAAATATTAGTCCTGGGGGTGTTAGTGATGCCGCAAAATGTCATGCTTGTACCATAAAAGCGAACTATTTTGGTCCTTAACAGCTCCACTAATATGGCACTTAATTGTATTTTTTTCTTACACTGCATAAAGCACTTTAAGATGATAGTATGCAAAATATTTTGAAATTTCCCATCAAAAATGAGAAGCTTGAATTTGGAGTGTTGTGTGTGTGTCACCTGTTTAGGAAGTTTACAGGTGACTGCACCTGTAAACTTCCTCATAGATGACAAGGTTGTTTTTAACAGGCATACTGGAATGAGCGACTATGTTATCACTGTACCATCCACTGCTAGGACACGAGTCACGCCAAACATCACAAATTTTTCATTTTGGTCCATATGTAGATTATGGCCATGTAGCAGCCATGATAGGGGGCAGGATTCAGATTTCGTGCACCCTGTTTGATTGGACATTGTCACATTAATGCAAACATATCATGATGGCATGCTATATTAGGAATGTGGTGACAAGACAAAACAAAGAGAGCCAATTAACCTTACATCGTTGCTCATGGTACGGCTGATGGATATCTCGCAGTACCTTCCTGACTTGATGTTCCGCAGCATGTACTCCCCCCGTCACCAGGTACCCAGTCATGAACTTACTACTACTACTACGTAGGATGGTCCTGTCTGATGATGAGAAAACATGCCTTTGTTGATCTGAGCCTAGTTCTACTTCATAGCCAGATAGATAACGTGAAAGATACACACCTCATGTATTGCACCCATTACAGCTCTTTCCAACTCTGCATCGGTAACAATCCTTTGCGTCTCAGGTTGTGTTTTTCACAAAATCTTCGAATACTAATTTCTGAGCACATCTTAATTCCATTTTGCTTCAGTGTGGTGGAATTTTCCGCATGTGTCTTGGCCTGCTCCAAACAACTCTTTGATGTATTTAGCGTAGATCTCGATGGCGGCCATGGGAGCCTATAGACGGATTATTTGTTTATTAACATGCTCACGGAGCCTGAGTTCAGCAGAAAGCGCTGCTATCTGTGCGGTTCACGTGAAGCACTAAAACAGTTTATCAGCGTGTGGTAAAATAAGTTATAATGCTAAATGAACATTAGTGAGTGTACGTCTTACCTGTATGTGTTAAATGCAGGTGAATGTGTAAATGCCTAGTCTAGGCCCTGAGGGAGTCTGAAATCTAATGTAATCCTACAAAACACTGACATGATACAGACAGAACAGCGGCTTTTTCTGCAGGAGCCATGCACAGTCCTGCGCTAGGCAGCATAGCAGTATAACATTTTTGTTTATTTGAGATAAACTTTAAATTAAATATTGGAAATACAGGTCGAAAGCCGTTTTTTTTTTTTTTTTTTGACACCAAAACAGAATAATGAAATAACAAACAGTTTTCCCATTTTATAGTTTTTTCATTCTTAAATGAAATTCAAAAGAAAGAATGGTACACGGACCCATCACAAATATTCTCAAATCATTCTACTGACAATTAAATAAGACCACATTTGCCCCATTTACATGAGAGCTTTAATTACGATTAAAAATAATTTAAATTTTATTTAAACTTATTTGGAATTAACCTTAAATCCAAATTAAGTGGGTGGTTTATTCAGATTTTAAATTTATTCCGCGATCATGTAAAGGTTTATTCCACTTAAAAAATAATTCCAGTTGTTCAGTGCATGCGTGTTGGATCACCCTTCTGACCCAATGACACACTGCAATATGGTGAAAAAAGTTTGTATCACCCATATCTCTATTTCTCGTTGCCTATGTACAGTCGTGGACAAAATTGTTGGTAGCCCTCTTGTAATGAAAGAAAAATCAACATTTTTCACTGAAATAACTTGAAACTAAGAAAAGCAATAATAAATAAAAATTTCCTGAAAAATAGGCAATGAAAATCAGACACTGTTTTTGAATTGTTGTTCAACAGAATTATTTAAAAAAACAAACTAATGAAACTAAAGGGGGACATGTGTCATTGTGCTGTTTGGAGACATGATGGACACAACACTGAACATGGACCAGAAAAAGAGAAGAAGAGAACTGTGTCAGGAGACTAGAAAGAAAATGATGGACAAGCAGGTTAAAGATAAAGACAATAAGACCATCTCCAAGCAGCCTGATGTTTCTGTGATTACAGTTGTACATGTTCTTCAGAAGTTTAAAGTCCACAGGACTGAAGGCCGCAAGAAGAAGATTTATGACAAATTGAAGAGATGGATCATACAAATGGAACCAAAGAGTCTAGAACAACCTCCAAAGAAATTAAATGTGACCTTAAAGGGCAAAGTATATTAGTGTCAGATCACACCATCCATCACTGTTTGAGCCAAAGTGGACTTCATGTGAGGACACCACTGTTGAGAGCAAATCATAAAAAAGTGAGACTGGAATTTGTCACAATGCAGATTGACAAGCCACAAAGCTTCTGGAAGAATGTTCTTTAGACAGATGAGACAATTTTTTGTTTTGTTTTGCTGCAAAATACAATGGAATCTCAAAACTATCAAGGTATTTTGGAACGAAATGTGTTGACTAGTGTCACAAAGCTTGGTCTAAGTCATAGGTCACGGGTCTTCCAACAGGAGAATGACCAAAACACACAGCTAAAACACCCAAGAATGGCAAAGAACAAAACTTTGGACTGTTCTGAAGTGTTCTTATGTGAGCCCAGATCACAATCCTACTGAACATCTGTGAAAGGAGCTGAAACATGTTGTCTGGAGAAGGAACCCTTCAAACCTGAGCCAACTAGAGCAGTTTGCTCACGTGGAGTGGGTCAAAATACCTGTTGACCAAAGCAGAAGCTCATTGACAGTTACAGAAATCATCTGCTTGCAGAGTTTGCCTCTAAAGGTTGTGCAACAAAATATTAAGTTAAGGTACCATAATTTTTGTCCAGGCCAGTTTCATTATTTTGTTTTTTCTAATAATTCTGATGAATCACAGGTGAAAAGCAATGTTTGATTTTCACTGGGCACAGGTCCAGGTGTGCTGCTCCTGTCCTCCATGCTCCAGGGCTGTGGCTGGTTCTGAGATGGTGCAAAACATCCAGACAGAAGCACGAATCCCATTTGGTTCATTATATCTTGTTCTGAGTGTCCGTCCTCCGTGCTCTTAGTTCTTCCCCGGGGAAAGTGCTTCTTAGGCCGAGGCACCTAACACCACTCCCCGGTCCAGCTCATCGGGGCTCGACCTGAACCGGAGCTGCTCCCGCTGGTTCAGAAGTCTAGGTTTGGACTGTTCCCCTGCCCATACAAAGTGTAGAACAGCTGTACGCATCCCCACGCATAACAACAAACAGAGATGACAAAAAAGTCAGTAGCAGCTGAAGTGTGTGTTTTCTTCCGGTCGATGTAAATACATTCGTGTGCCTGTCGAATAAGAACCCTTCCCCACCACCAGACATTGAATGGAATTAAATAAAGCCGATTTAACATGTTTTCCATTTAAACCTTAATTCTTAATTATTATTTCCATGTAAACTTGAAGAAGAAGAATTTAATTCAGAATTAATTCTGAATAATTAAATCGGAATTGAAAAACATCATGTAAACGTGGCCATTTTCACCATTCTACATTCTTTTAAATGTGTTTTGCATATCTTGGTTTTAATGTAATTTTTATCACAATTGTTGGCTTATTGTATATTATTAGATATATTATATCTTCACCTGATATTGTTACGGCGTATCTATGTAATGATATATTATTATTTTTTTCTTATGAATTCAAAACGGTTCTGCATATGACTGGAAGGTTTTTATTCCACACTCTTCTTTTTGTTAATTTAATGATGATTATTTATGTTTTGATCTGTTTATATTGAAATTTGAATGTCTTTCTTATTCTGTAAAATACTTTACTTTGTGTACACACTGTGCTATACAAATAACCTGCCTTGCCTTAATAAATATTTGAATAACGTAGGCTATGGATTGCCAGAAATAATACTATCACAATTATTTGGTCACACTGCACAAAATAACCACTACAAACACTCAGTTTATTTCAAAAACTTAACATTTTAATATGTCATTTAAAATGTCACTGTTTTTAGATATGTACTTGAAACTCAGCATACTTGGTCTCATTGGGCGTAACTATGAGCACCTCGCCTGTCTTCTTCTCATCCAACAACAAATCCATCAGGCCTTTTGCAACTTTGGTCACACTGGACAAAAACATACATAAAATAATGAATACTTTTCATATGTATACATATAAAATTAAAAGTAATATTTTTAATTAACAAATATGTAAACCCTGTTGCCAATATGTGCAATGGTCAGACTTCTGTGGTGTCATTTGCTGTGTAACTGTCAGATCAAACTGATAGATAAGTACTAAAGTGAAAAAGTTAATTTTGCAAAAGCTTCAGAAAGTGGTACCATTATACAACCCCAAAGATGTGAGTGCTGTCAGTTGATAGGAGTTTAAGACATAAGATCGATATTACAACTTAGTGGAGTCGATCCCAAACAGTTAATGAGAAGATTCAACATTTGTGGATTATAAATTTGGAAATTTCCTTAAAAAACAGTGAATATTCTAGGCCGGGAGCCAGATACACTCCTGAGGATATGTTTGCTACCTTTTTTCACAATTATTTCCTGTTATCTTATATCTTGGCCCATCACAAGTTGATAGGGACCAGCCCCAACTCGGCCCCGTTTAGTTTCAGGGCCCAAGAAAAGCTATTGGTGAAATAATGTAACTGTAAATATTAATGTACTGCAACTGCATAAATGGTCAAATAACCCTAAAATTTAACATGGTGTATCCTGACACATGGGGGAAACTAGCAGAAAAAATATTCTGGCGCTTGTTGCTTTTCTACTGTCAAGTATCACCCTCAACATACCCAAAAGACAAAAAAATGTTCATCCACCTGACAAATTGTCATCAAACGTGATCATTTTCAAGCATTTTATTGCATATATCACTGCCTCAAATAGACATGAAAAACTCCCCAAGTTCATAAGCTTCAATTTAAGACCAAGATGATCTCTGTATCTAGAGGGAAACAGCTGCTATGACCAAAGTTCTTCACTGTACCTCAAATTGGCAGAAAGCAGAACTTTCAGGCTTTACCACTGTCAAGTATCACCCTCAACATACCCAAAAGACAAAAAAATGTTCATCCACCTGACAAATTGTCATCAAAAGTGATCATTTTCAAGCATTTTATTGCATATATCACTGCCTCAAATAGACATGAAAAACTCCCCAAGTTCATAAGCTTCAATTTAAGACCAAGATGATCTCTGTATCTAGAGGGAAACAGCTGCTATGACCAAAGTTCTTCACTGTACCTCAAATTGGCAGAAAGCAGAACTTTCAGGCTTTACCACTTCATATGGGATTAAGCAGGGTTTTTTTTTCATTGAAACAATATTTTAAAAGAGTTGACTTATGTACTGCTGTACTATATGAAGTGAATTACATTAAAAGTGAATAATATTAAAACTCCAGGTGGACAGGGGTCAGGGTGCCAGATAAAACTATGGCAACCAGGTTACACATGCAAATACACACAACCCATCATCACACAGCCAACATTCTAACCCCTCATGCAACATCACATCAGAAGTTATTTGTGTGTGTGCACATGTCTGTGCGTAGTATCATCAGTAACATCATCAGTAACATCATCATCATCGTCTCTGTTTGAGGCCAAACTTCAGTGAAAATGGAAACATTGGGTCTCATGTATATTTTACACATTGTTGTAATTGTTGTATACACTGATTTTCAGATGGGTGTGTAGCAAAGCACTGTAGTTTTCAAGTGGACTTCAATGTAGTAAAACCAGGACACAGTATTTTCCCACCCACTATAGGCACCCAGGTTCGTTGACTGAATATGGCATGAGACTTTAATATACTTTACATTGAATTTATTATTAATTTTTGCAAGGAGTTAATCACACACACACATATCCTTGACCAATCCTGTACGTTCATTGTCTATTGTCCATTCGGTCGCATGGCCTCGTTGCTTGGGATTACCTTAGCAGAGAGCGAGTCCTTGCACTAAGGGCCATGACCAGAGAACAGACCAGGTACACAGAGAGAAAAGGGGAGGCTACCCGCCAGCAGGAGCCGTATAGATTTCACCGCGGCACGCCACCCAAATATGCCAAGGACCGCCCAGTGCCGAACCACAGGCGCTAAAACACAACCCATGTTAACCTCGGGCATGGCATTACTGAGCCAGGAAGACGATTTCCCCACTTACCCCCACGATGCCCGCACACTCTCCGCAATTACTGAGCTGTAGACCTCGCAGCAGTAATCTTAGTGTGCCTAAATGTGTATGAACATTAGTGTGAACAGTGTTCACACACTTCCCGCCGACGAAAACTCACGAAATTTTGCACAAAATTCAAGATCGCCAAAATAGGAATTTACAAATACTCCACGTCAAAAAAAAAAAAAAAAAAAAGGCTAAACAGCACCCCCTGCAAAATCAAAATACATTGCGGCTATGGCTATACCCGAAAAATCAACTTTGTCGTAGACAAACGAAATTCGGGTGGTGGATAGGTCTGGTCGTTCCAAACAAAAAAATATATTACGCGGTTGCTAGGCAACCAACAGGAAGTCGTCCATATTGGACCGATCGAGCGACTCGGCGCCGAGGACGCAATTTCCTGTCCTCGTATTTGAACGAACTCGTCCTAGGGCGTTTGACCCAGACTCACCAGAATCATTCTGTATCATCTAGACAAGTGCGACATTAAAAGCTGTTAAAAGCTTTTTTAGAGGTCAAACGGTGTTGTCGTGGCAATGGTGCAAATTTTAGTTTATGCGGCTCGCCACCAAACTTCGATGAGTGATAATTCGCAGAATGTGGCCGATTTCACTCAAAATTTAATCGTTGGTGGACACCCTGAACAGATTCATATAAGAAAATCTCAAATGGGTGCAATAGCGCCACCCAGGGAAATTGCATGGAAGTGCAAAAATTGACTTTGTCGTAGACATACAAAATTTGGCACACACATTCCTGACCTAGTCTCGATCAAAAAAGTCAATGACGCCCCCATGCCATTTCCTTTTGTGTTGCCATGGCAACAAGCCAAACATCGGTCCTTGCCAATACGATGCCCGACAAAAACTTTGGTGTAGCCAAACCAAATTTGGTACACAGATGCACCATGGGAATAGGAACAAAAAAGTATATTACGCGGTTGCTAGGCAACCAACAGGAAGTCCGCCATATTGGATCGAACATGCAACCTGGCGCTGAAGCCGCAATTTCCTGTCCTCGTACTTGAATGAACTTGTCCTAGGGCGTTTGACCCAGACTCACCAGAATCATTCTATGTCATCTAGACAAGTGCGACATTAAAAGTTGTTAAAAGCTTTTTTAAAAGTCAAATGGTGTTGCCGTGGCAACAAGACAAACTACGGGGTCGTTTTTGGGGCTCACCATCAAACTTCGAGGCCTGATAATTTGCACAAACTTTGGCCGATTTCACTCAAACTTTAATCATTGGTGGACACCCCGACCCTGAACAGATTTATATAAGAAAATGTAAAATGGATGCAATAGCGCCCCCTAGGGAGATTGTATGGTACAACAAAATTTCACTTTTTCGTAGACATACAAAATTTGGTACACACATTCGTGACATGGTCTTGATCAAAAAAGTCAATGACGCCCTCATGCCATTTCCTTTTGTGTTGCCATGGCAACAAGCCAAACATGAGCGCTCGCCAATAGGACGCCTGGCAAAAAGTTTGGCGTAACCAAACCAAATTTGGTACACAAATGCACCATGGGAATAGGAAAAAAAAGTATGTTACACGGTTGCTAGGCAACCAACAGGAAGTCCGCCATATTGGATCGAACATGCAACCTGGCGCTGAAGCCGCAATTTCCTGTCCTCGTACTTGAATGAACTTGTCCTAGGGCGTTTGACCCAGACTCACCAGAATCATTCTATGTCATCTAGACAAGTGCGACATTAAAAGTTGTTAAAAGCTTTTTTAAAAGGTCAAACGGTGTTGCTGTGGAAATGGTCCAAATTTCGGGTACGTTTTTGAGGCAAGTGATAATTTGCACAAACTGTGGCCGATTTCACTCAAACTTTAAGCGTTGGTGGACACCCCAACCCTGAACAAATTTATATAATAAAATCTAAAATGGATGCAATAGCGCCCCCTAGGGAGATTGTATGGAACAATAAAATTTTACTTTTTCGTAGACATTGAAAATTTGCTACACACATTCGTGACATGGTCTTGATGAAAAAAGTCAATGGCGCCCACACTCCATCGCTCATCGTGTTGCCATGGGAACAGATCAAAAATCTGTCCTTGCCAATGGGACGTCCTAACAAAAACTTTGACGTACTCAAACCAAATTTGGTACACAGATGCATCATGAGACTAAGAACTAAAAAGTATATTGTGACAATGCCCCCTGCCAAACCGGAAGTCCGCCATCTTGGATTAAAAAAAAAAATCAGCACACACAGAAATTGAGAAAAATTGTACAGTTCGGTTAAAGGTTGTATAGAGGATTTTCCAAGGAACGAGAAATCCAGCGACTGTTTGTCCTTTTTCAAATGTTGCGCATGCGTGAAACCACCCCCCCTCCCCTACAGCTCCCTACGTAGAAACGCCTCCTCCCGCCTCCTCTTTACGCCAGAAACAGGTTTGTTTACAGCCGGTGCACTGCACATGACTTGTAAACAACTAACTACAGTGTTGGTTAGGCAAGGCGGAGAAGTGAGGAGCGGGGGGAGCGGGTGTGCGGACATTTCGTTCGCGGACGAGAAGTGAGGAGCAGGGAGAAGAGCGGAGCAGGGAGAGAGGAGAGGAGAGAGGAGAGGGGAGCGGTGCGCGGAGATTCCGTGCCCGGAGAAGTGAGGAGCAGGGGGAAGAGCGGAACGGGCAGCGGGGACAGGAGTAGGAAAGGGGAGCAGAGAAGAGTGCGCGGAGATTCAGTGTGAATGAACTAGCTACAACATGCAGCAGCAAGCGGACTCTTTCTTTGCCTTGAAAATTACGTTTTCAGACATAGGATATCGCTTTCGTGTCCTGAAAAACGTTTGACTAGCTCTAGGAAATAAAGTACGTTTTCATAATAAGCAGAAGTTACCTGTCCAGGAGTAATTTGGCGACCAGTGCGTCAGTCTTTAGACCCTGCGTCTGCTTCAGTCGCGCCATCGCTGGAATGAATCTACAAGAATCACCTTAGTTTGGCTTCGCTGCTTTTCCCCTTGTCTTCTTCTTTCAGCGACCTCAAAAACGGACTTTCTTTTGCGGCTAACTGCTCCTGGATTCTTGTCTGCCATTCCAACAAACTTTGTGCTAACTGCGAGGAAGATATAGGTCAAAAAAAGCCGCTAAGAACTGTTGCGTTGGTGGAGTAAACAGCGTCTGTGCGTCTTGCGTCTGTGGACTGCGTGACAGGCGTACGTAAACCACGTACCGGCGGCGCGCAGGCAAGTCAGTTACGCTAGAAACGTAGGGAGATTGATTGACAGCCTGTCAGCTAACAGATAACGAGGCAATGTCGTTATCTATTGGCAAATGTTTAGCTGGCCCCACCACGTCCAGAGTTGATGAATTTTTTATCTCTTTTTTTTGGTCATCATAATTACAAGGCTACTGCACCTCTATAATGCTATCATTGACAACTTGAAACAAAAAAAACAAAAAAAAAATCCTCCATACAACCTTTAAGATTAGGTTAAGGTTAGGGTTAGGTTAGGGGTAAGGTTCGGCCTAAGGTCTGGGCTACAGTTAGGAGTTCAGGTGCGTTTCGGGGTTAGTGTTAATTTGGGAGTTAGATCAAGGGGTAAGGTGCATTCGTGGAGCACGGCATGTGCAGGGCTCAGCGTGGTCGAGGTGCGGCGTGGCGTGGGCGCGGCGTAGGCTCGAGCGAGGGCCGATCATCGCCGCTTGCGGCTATATTTATTATTATTATTATTATTATTATTATTATTATTATTATTATTATTAGGCCCGAGCGCCATGGGTGGCGTAGGGCCTATAGCGCCTATGGCTATACCTGAAAAATCTACTTTGTCGTAGACAAACGAAATTCCGGTGGTGCATAGGTTTGGTTATTCCAAACCAAAAAATATATTACATGGTTGCTAGGCAACCAACAGGAAGTCAGCCATATTGGACTGATCGTGCGACTTGACGACGAAGGCACAATTTCCTATCCTTGTACTTGAACAAGCTCATCCTAGGGCGTTTGACCCAGACTCACCAGAATCATTCTGTATCATCTAGACAAGTGGGACATTAAAAGTTGTTAAAAGCTTTTTATTAGATCAAACGTTGTTGCCGTGGCAACGGTAAAAATTTTGGATTCATTTTTGCGTGATAATTGAGTGATAATTTGCAAAAACTTTGACTGATTTCACTCAAACTTTAATCGTTGGTTGACACCCCAACCATGGACAGATTCATATAAGAAAATCTCAAATCGGCGCAATAGAGCTCCCTAGGGAAATTGCATGGAACACCAAAAATTTACTTTGTTGTAGACCGATCAAATGACACTCCCATGCTATTTCCCTTCGTGTTGCCATGGCAACAAGCCAAACATCTGTCCTCGCTAAATAGTAATAGCAAAAACTTTGGCGTAGCCAAACCAAATTTGGTACACAGATGCACCATGTGAATAGGAACAAAAAAGTATATTATTAAACCGCATAATATACTTTTTTGTTCCTATTGGTTGCAAGGCAACCAACAGGAAGTCCGCCATATTGGATTGATCATGCAACATGGACCCATTCTATATTCTCCATCGGGTGCTTTAGGGTTCATGGAAGTTTGCCCAACCAGTCCACATGTGCTATGTGGATCTGGAGAAGGCATTCGACCGTGTCCCTCGTGGTGTCCTGTGGGGGGTGCTCTGGGAATATGGGGTCCGGGGTCCTTTGCTAAGGGCTGTCTGGTCCCTGTATGATCGGAGCAGGAGCTGTGTTCGCATTGCTGGCAGTAAGTCAGACCTGTTCCCGGTGCATGTTGGACTCTGCCAGGGCTGCCCTTTGTCACCAGTTCTGTTCATTGTTTTTATGGACAGAATTTCTAGGCACAGTCAGGGGCCAGAGGGGGTCCGGTTTGGGGACCACAGGATCTCATCTCTGCTGGTGATGTGGCAGATGATGTTGTCCTATTGGTTTCATCAAACTAGGACCTGCAATGTGCGCTAGGGCGGTTTGCAGCCGAGTGTGAAGCGGCTGGGATGAGGATCAACTCTTTCAAGTCCGAGGCCATGGTTCTCGACCGGAAAAAGGTGGCTGGCCCTTTCCGGGTGGGTGGAGAGTCCCTGCCTCAAGTGGAGGAGTTCATGTATTTTGGGGTCTTGTTCACAAGCGGGGGGAGGATGGAGTGTGAGATTGACAGGCGGATTGGTGCCGCACCTGCAGTGATGCAGTCGCTGTATCGGACCGTTGTGGTGATTTACCGGTTAGTCTTCATTCCTCCCTCACCTATGGTCATGAGCTCTGGGTAATGACCGAAAGGACGAGATCGCGGATACAAGTGCTCAAAATGATTTTCCGTCGCAGGGTGGTGGCTGTCCCTTAGAGATAGGGTGAGGAGCTCAGTCACACGGGAGGAGCTTGGAGTAGAGCCACTGCTCCTCCACGTCAAGAGGAGTCATTTGAGGTGGCTCAGGCATCTGTTCCGGATGCCTCCTGGGCGCCTCCCTCGGGAGGTGTTCCGGGCATATCCCACCGGGAGAAGGCCCCATGGAAGACCCACGACACACTGGAGGGACTATGTCTTTTGGCTGGCCTAGAAACGCCCCGGGGTCCCCCCAGAGGAGCTGAAGGATGTTTCTGGGGTGAAGGAAGTCTGGGAGACCCTGCTTAGACTGCTGCCCCAGTGACCCAGCCCCGGATAAGTGGAAGAAAATGGATGAATGGATGAAAAAAACAACAACTGACACACGATTATTCATTTCATTAATACACAGACACACAACTATTCATCCCAACACACAGTCTCAGACACACAACTATTCATCTCATCAACACACAAACTCAGACACACAAATATTCATCTCATTAACTCACAGACTTAGATACACAACTATTCACCTCATCAACACACAGATTAAGACTATTTCTCTCATCGAAACACAGACTCAGACTCACAACTCTTCATCTCATCAACATACAGGCTCAGACACACAACTATTGCCCTCATCAACACACAGAAATGTGATTTAAGGAGTGTTTCACTTCAGCTGCATCTGATCCAAAGTCTGTCTAATCATCCTAATCCTAATCATCCTGTCGGGATTCAGATAGGCTGAAATAATTCTCACTGGAACTGATGCTGAGTCTGATGACAGCTACACAGAAGAGGAAGCGGCACTCGGTTTACCTCTGGAGGCCGCAGAGTTGCTCAGAAATGACACTGAGGATGAAGAATTCATGTTCTCTGTTCTATTGTCATTGCTATAACTTGCATTTCAAGATGAAATGTGTGTTCTTGGTTTCTGATTTTGTTTTCTGTCCGGATGTCATTGTGTTTGGGGCCAGATCCGGACCAGAGTCCGCCAATTGAGTACCTCTGCTCTATAGTGACTGTTGTGATGTGTCCACTCACTCCATGATGCCCAGTTTGTCCACCAGCTTCATCATCATGTCCTTCATGTGCACAAATGGGCCCAATCTTTCAGGGATGTTAGTGAACAGATTTGTGTCGACGAATCCAGGACACAGAGCATTAAAGCGCACACCATCATCCGCACCAAGAGACGCCATCTACACATGCACAAAGACTCATATTCAGCTGATGTCATCAACATGTGAAGCTAACTAGAGGCACTGCACTGTCTAAAGCTTTGTTATTCAAGTTAGACTTTAATTTATCAACAGCCACTATTATTGTTTATAAAATAGTGTTGGTTTGGATTTTTTAATTAAGAAATACAACATTTATAGCAACATTTTTCACAATATTAAATACATAGTGCGGCTTAAACAGTTTTGTGTCACTTATCACTGTTTTGTTTGTTATTTTAAATATCAGTTTTTTTTGTTTGTTTTTTTTTTATTTTGAAGTCTTAACTGGGCTTAAAGCCTCACATACATTTGTTGGCTGCCAGCTTAGCAAAAATAACAAATTTGCAGCAGTAAATTAGTGTAACTGAATTTTTCTTGTGTAAGAATTATCTTTTTTTTTCCTGCTTTGTTGTTAATAAAAAATAAAATGACCAAATAAAGAAAGTAACTCTGGGTAGCTAGTATTACTTCACGGCAGTGGAAAGACCATGCAAATGTAGGGTTGAATAATTTTCATAATGATACCATACTACCCTTCACTGTGGTGTTCATTTATTAGAATCAGTTTTGAGTGTCGAGTCTATTCCTTAGTACTGAAATCAAAATTTAGTATGGTGACAACACTAACTGCAGCTCATGGTTTTTAATTACATTTGGAAAAGGCTTTTGACTGGCTCTGGGGATTTTTCAATAGGTTCAATGTCATTCACTTACTGCCATTGCCCTGGTGAAGCCCACAACTCCATATTTGGTGGCTGTGTAAACCGGACAGCTGGGCAGGGGACCAAGACCTACATGAAAGAAACAAGAGAGGGTATTTTATTTTTATGGGGTATTCACTTCTAACATATTTACATCACCAAGTTACCTTTTACTGTTTTGAAAATGCTATATTTGCTGAAAAAAACTAAGTTTCACTTTAATTTTTGATGCTGCATATTTAGGTCGAGTGCTTCTCTCAAAAAGACAACACTGTGTTTTTAAACTCCGTACTCAATTTCAGCCCTGGAATGCACAGTCTCTTGTGAACAAAAGGTAAAAAGTATAGCTGGAAAACTACTGCATCACAATGTGGAACAGAGCATTTAGAATGACAGACTAATAACAAAAGGTTACTCAAACAAGAGTGAATGAAACAAAACACAACTCCATGTTTTTGAGGCGATAACAACATTGCATGGCTTAAAGCTCACAAGTCAATTTTTGGGTATTATAGGATCGTTAATGAGTATTGTTCAACCCTCTACAGCTGCTATGTTATCATAGGATCATATTACCCACAACAATAATTGTTCCATCTGTCATGTATTGAATAACAGTCGATATAGTAATTACCATGACAGACCCTTATCCAACTACTACTTACTGCAGATTGTGCCAATGCATTAGTCTCATGGTAATTTTGAGTGCAAAGAGCAGCAGTTCTATAGCTGACCAGTCTACACCTCTGACCCCCCCATGACCACCACAAAACACACTGATACACTGTGGAACTTTTCTGGTAGGAATTTCCACAGTACAGCTTTGAACTTGTTTATGTTGCATTTAGTCAGTTACAGGTGTTTCTATCTCTATTATAAACATGCATTTTTTATTTTTATTTTTACACTGAACAGTGTTGCCTCTTCACAGATCTGACCTGTGACCTGCCCAGATGGCATCACCTGCTTGTCTCCATGGAAATAGATACATTTAATGCCAGACTGTGGAACATTTCAGGCAAAGCAATAAGATTCCCATTGATAGTAGCAGACCCTCCACCATGTGAAAAATCACATGGGCACCTTTAACCACAGGAATACAAAAGTCAGTGTTCCAATATAACCTTCAGGTTAGTGGGTAACTGCTTGACCACTGAGACGCTACCACCCAAGTAATGCAGTGTGTGTGTGTGTGTGTGTGTTTGTGTGTGCGCTCGTGTGTGTGTGCGTGCCTGTGCCTATGCAGTGTCCCTGTGGTTTAACTGTTCACAAGTTTTAACAAAACATAAATCCACAGCTGTGATGAGTGTTGGAGCAGTGCATTGTGGGACAGGACCTGCCATAGAAGCAGTGTTGATGATGACCCCTCCGTGACCTTTGTGCAGTTTGCTCATATGTTCCAGTGCGAGGTACGCCACTCGGATCATCGCTGTCTGAAATACAGGCACACAGTCAGTCTGAAACATAATCAGTCTGAAACACAATGAGTCTGAAACACCATCCGTGTAAAACACAGTGAGTCTGAAACATAATCAGTCTGAAACACAGACACACAGTCAGAAACATAGTTACTCAGTGAGTTCAAACACAGTGAGTCTGAAACACAGTCTGAAATAGTCAGAAACATGGTCACACAGTCAGTCAGAAACACTGTAACATAGTAAGTCTGAAAAACAGTGAGTCTGAAACATAGTCTGAAACACAGTCATACAGTGAGTCTGAAACATAGTCTGAAACACAGACACTCAGTTACACAATACCTGCCTTCAAATTCATAATCATTACTACATCAACTAATTGTTCAATTTATGCAGAAAAGGGTACCACATTTACTTGACTAACTTTTTAACTTGTAAATTGTAAAAAAGTTGTGGTTCCACTTCCCACTGTGAGTAAGTCTACAAACAAAAGCCAACAAAAGCTTAATGTTTGAGTTGAATAGTTGTGCAATACATGTTCCATTTTGAATCCTTATAGTGTCACATCCAAACCCGACCCTTGTCCTCACCAGGTTGATGGACACCATCTTCTCCCACTCAGTCTCATTTAAAATTCCGGCGTTGTTACACACAATGTCCAGTTCTCCAAAAGTCTCTATGGTTTTCTGAAAGGCAGCTGAAAAAACAACAAAGATTTAGTCTAAAGGTGGAGGGGTGAATGTTTCTCTGGCCCCACTTCTGTCTGCTTCTCTGGCTCCGCTCCTGTGGCTCTGCTCCTGTCTGTTCCTGTCTGCTCCTCTGGCTCTGATTCTGTCTGCTCCTGTGGCTCTGCTCCTCTGACTCTCTTCCTGTCTTCTCCTCTGGCTCTGCTTCTGTCTGCTCTTCTGGCTCTGCTTCTGTCTGCTCCTCTGGCTCTGCTTCTGTCTGCTCCTCTGGCTCTGCTTCTGTCTGCTCTGCTTCTGTCTGCTCCTCTGGCTCTGCTTCTGTCTGCTCCTCTGGCTTTACATTATGATAGCTTAGTTTTACCTTTGAGCTGTTGTTCAGACTGAACATCACATTCAACAAATAAAGCTTTGTCTTTTCCAAATTTTTCCATTAGTTTTTCCACTAAACTAGTTCCAGTTGCTGCGTTCAAGTCCAACAGCGCCACCTGCAAACACAAAAACAGCACTGTTATTATCAAGACAAGCCCACCATATGCTCAGAATATAAGATATATTTCCTTAAAACTGCACTGCGAAACTTTTATGTTGGCAACGGCATCTCCATAGAGCATACTGTTTAAATAAACATTAACTACTTGGAGATGTCATTGCTTTGCCTGGAATGTTCTATGGTATGACTTTAAACATTTCCATCTAGCATTTATTCATTAAAAGTGTTTCTATTGCTCAAAAATACAATATTTTTTTAGGTGAATAAGGGCGACTCTCCACAGATCTGAAATGTAATGTACTGTAGTGCTGTAACTTGCTTGTCTCCCTCTCTTTAGATTCCCATAGTGGACCCTCCACTCCACCAACTGTTACACAGTGCACATTTAATTTGACATATTTTAATTGCTATGGTTTCAAACTCACAAAAATCACTCTTCATTAATAATACCATATTATTTATTTTATTACTTTATTTGAACAGGGACAATGCACAGAGGTTGGTTAGAGGTAGTTAAAAATGTATTCAAGAGTAATAAAATAATTAGGGCTGGGCACGTTAACGCAATAATTTTGTGTTAACTAATTCATTCATTATCGCCGACAATTCTTTTTTTAATTTATTTTTTAATGTAAGCGTGTGTTGCTCACTGGCTTTTATTTTGAAAAAGTCCACCGCAAGCGTTTCTTTAAGTTTGATATCTTTTCTTTACAGTTTATTCACTTTTTTCTAACCACGTGAGATGCCACGTATTCGAGCCTCCGCGGCGGGCTCCGGCTCCAGCTCTGGCTGCGGGCTCGCCCGTGGGCGCAGCTGTGGGCTCTGAGCTTCCGCAGGCTCCGGTTCAAGGGTCTTTCTCGTTCTTCTGTGTCCAAATAGAGGTGTCCAGTGTGGTTTTCGTCGCTGCAGTCTCGCTTACATTTGCTATTACAGTGTATTCATGAAGGTCCAGAAGATTTCATGATATGATCCCGCCCATAACTCAGTGAAATATGATTGGCTCAGACAACTGTCAATCTCAAACTCGTTCCAGCCACTGAAGGACCTGCAGGTGTTTTTTTACTTCAGTGCTGCAGGGGAGTCACTGATTTACCCAGATACCACTGGAAGAAAAACTATGATTGGTCCATTTCCATTCCATTATATTAACCCTTTGTTTCCCAAGAAATATTAGTCCAAGTTTATAAGAATGATCTAGAAATTATTACTAGAGTAGTGTTTATTACTCACTGAATAAAAAATATAGAAAAAAATATATTAGTAGTACAAAAAATTCATTCAATATTTTTTCTTGAGCCTTCAGAATACCTTGAAGGCTCTGAGGGTTCAACTCCAAAAGAAATACTGTTTGCACAACAAATGTATGGCTCTTTCATTTACATTTCCAATAAAAGTGCACTATACACTACTTTTTAATTCATTAATTGGTTTTGCATCTAACATGAGGTTAATCGCGATTAATTGCACTCGAACTCATGCCATTAATATTTAAAATTTTTGCCCAGCCCAAAAAATTATATCACTCAAGTAGAAGTGCAGTAATGGTGCAAGAAATTATGCAAGTAAAAGTAAAAAAGTTTTTGGGAAAAGTACTACTCAAGTAGTACATCTCATTTATAATTGAAGTGAATGTATGTTGAAGGACAAAGCATTAGATAATGCACAAAATCTGGTATTTTCAAAGGACAAACACAAAAATGAGACACAGTAAATTCTGTGTCGGGGAAGTTTGATGAAAGGAACAGTCCTCTGGACAAAAGTGTCCCTCCTCTGTATCCTCTGTGTCCAGCAGCATCACAGCAGCCTTCAGTGGGAGTGAGGTGAATAACAAGAAAGTCTCTTCTAAGCTTCACTCTCACTCCAATCTGCAGTTGATAATGAAATGGTCCATTCCTTTGAAGCATTCTCTGGAAGCTCTCAGAGTATTTCCTCTGGAAGGTCTTATGCCACATTTTCTCAGTTGATGTAAAAAGCATGTAGCATCTTAAATGTTCCAATAGATACAGAAAAAAACTTTTAATTTCACACAATCCATCAATCCCTTACTTGTATCTTTGAGCTTACTGTTACAACTACAACTACTGACGCTGTCGCCCCACTTGTAATGAAGCGCGCCAAGCCCACGTCGGAGCCTTGGCTCAATGAAACCACTCGTGCGCTTAGACGCGAGTGCAGGCGCGCAGAGCGGAGGTGGAATAAGGACAAACTACACGTATCGCTTGAAATACTTAGAGCCTGTCTAGCTAATTATCAGAAAGCGGTAAAGACTGCAAAAGCTCAGTATATGTCGAATTTTATTTCAAATAACACCCAGAGACCGCAGGTTCTTTTTAATGTATTAAATCGTCTAGTTAACCCAGAGTCTTCACCTAGTCTTGTGCCATCAGTTTCACTGTGCAATGACTTTTTATTGTTCTTTGTCGGAAAAATATCCCAAATCAGGGCCTCTATACCAGTGTGTAGTCCTAATGATTCTTTGAACACTTTTGAATGTTGTGCCACTTTTAATGAGTTTCTGCCTGTATCGCTAAACGAACTCTCAAATATTGTTCAGCGTTTAAGACCCTCTAACTATCCACTGGATGCTATTCCTGCCCATTTTCTAAAAAGTGTTTTTCATGCTGTTGGCCCCTTTATTCAAAATATCATAAATGCCTCCCTTTTGTCTGGATGTGTTCCAGGAGCGTTCAAACAGGCTGTAGTCCAACCTCATCTAAAGAAACCCACCCTGGATCCTAAAATTCTGGCAAATTTTAGGCCAGTTTCAAAACTGCCATTTTTAGCAAAGATTCTTGAGAAAATAGTCTATTATCAAATGCAGTCACATTTGGACTCAAATAGAATTTTTGAAAAGTTTCAGTCTGGCTTTAAATCACTTCATAGCACAGAAACAGCACTTCTGCGCGTTTTTAATGATCTTCTTTTAACTGTTGACTCTGGTTGCTCTGTGATTTTAGTTCTTTTAGATTTGTCTGCTGCTTTTGATACTGTTGACCACTGTATTTTACTCTCCCGCTTGGAACAATATGCAGGTTTTAAAGGCACAGCACTTAACTGGTTTAAATCTTATCTCACAGACAGATGTTTGTCAGTACATCTTGGCCCCCATAAATCTAACTCTGCTCCACTTACCTGCGGTGTTCCACAAGGATCTATTCTAGGTCCTGCATTATTTTCTCTTTATTTGTTGCCTCTAGGCTCAGTTCTTAGAAAAACACAATGTGTCTTATCATTTTTACGCTGACGACCTGCAAATCTATTTGCCCTTATCACCTGCCCCTGGCTCCATTAGTAGCTTGTCCTATTGTTTAGAGGAAGTGAAATCATGGCTAGCCCAAAACTTCTTAATTTTTAATGAGAAGAAGACAGAAATTGTGGTTTTTAATCCTAAATCCTCCACTGGTTTACATCACAACCTTGGCGCACTGTCTCCTTTTGTGAATTCCTCTGTCAGAGACCTTGGAGTATTCTTTGACAATTTGTTCAAAATGGACAAACAAATAACCTCTGTGGTAAAGGCCAGCTTCTACCAGCTCAGAATACTGAGTAAAGTGAAGGCTTACCTTCCAGCCAGTGACTTTGAACGACTTATTCACTTGTTTATAATGTCTCGTCTGGATTACTGTAATTCGCTGTATTGTGGACTAGACCAGCTCTCCTTACAGCGCTTACAACAAGTCCAGAATGCTGCAGCTCGTTTAGTAACAGGGACGAGAAAGAGAGAGCATATCACACCTGTACTGGCCTCTCTCCACTGGCTTCCTGTTCCTTTCAGGATTAATTTTAAAATTCTAATATTTGTTTTTAAATCCCTGAATGGCCTGGCTCCTGAGTATCTGTCTGAGCTGTTATCGCGCTATGTTCCAATCAGACCCCTCAGGTCAGAAAGCGGTTTGTTATTAAATGTCCCAAAGTCATGTTTGAAAACTCGGGGTGACAGGGCCTTTGCTGTGGCTGCCCCCAAGTTATGGAACAATCTGCCTCTCCACGTTCGAGCTGCTGCTCCATCACTGGAGATTTTTAAATCTGATCTTAAGACACATTTCTTTGCTGCGGCTTTTAACTCTAATTAAATGTTTTATAAGCTATGTTTAATTTTTTTTTTTTTTTTTTTTTTTTTTTTTTTTTGTTTGTTTGTTTGTTTTATTATTATATAGATATATTTTTCATATTTATTTGTGCTGTATTTTACTATCTTTATTGTGCATGTGAAGCACTTTGGGCAGCTTGTGTTGTTGTAAATGTGCTATACAAATAAAGTTGACATTGACATTGACATTGACATTGACTGGCTCAAATTTCATGATTGTATGTGCAAATTTTTTTTGCCCTCTTTCGTATTCCCTAATGCATTTTTGAGTCGTTTGGGGGCGCTGACAAGCCATTTTATTTATTTTTGAAAAATGGAAATAGACAAAAGTTAGAGAAGCTCGAGTTTTACCAAATGGCAAAATTTCAGGACTTTTCGTAATGGTTCAGTGGGTGAAAAATGGGTGAGTTGGTTAGGAGAAAAATAATAATAAAATTAAAGCCGCGCGCGGCGATGGTGGCCCTCGCCCCGGCACGCACCGCCCCCCCACGCGACCGCCTGGGACTCGCGACTGCCCCGTCACGCCACCCTGTCTTCCCGACACCGCCCAGGCCGACAGCTCGTCCATTAGACACATTACATAATGCCCCTTTAAATATTTTTAGGAGTGAATGCGCCCCTGCTGGCCAACAGTGGAAAATGCACCATGTCCGTTATTTATGTTTTGCTCATAGTCATGCATAGAACTTATTCCCTGAATTTGGTCCAAATCCAATAATGTTGACAGGTCATGTCTATGGCTAGGGGGCACTATAGTGTTCACTTTTCATCTGTTTTGTAGTGTATTATATTCAGGCTCACATCATGCATTATTGATTGAAATTTCAGCACGATCCGATTAAACATGGGCATATAATAATCTTTTTACTATTTTTGGGGGAGTCTTTGCGCCCCTACTGGCCAAC